GTTACGTTCCCTTAGCTTAGCGTTGCTTATCTCATCTTAGCTTAGCTTATTCATCTTAGCTTAGCTCAGCTTCATCTTAGCTCAGGTGTATCTTAGCTTAGCTTACCTTCATCTTAGCTTCGCCGAACTTTAGCATAGCAAAGCACAGCATAGCATAGCGTAGCATAGTATAGCGCAGCATCGCATAACATATCATAACATGACATATCATATCATAGCGCAACTTAGCGTATCATATCATAGCATAGCTTAGCATAGCACAGCGCAGCATGATATAGCATTGCATAGCTTAGCATATAATAGCATAACATGGGATAGCGCAGCCTAGCATAGCATAGCATAGCATAGCATAGCATAGCATATCATAGCGCAGCATAACATGGCATATCATAGCATAGCATAGCATAGCAACTAATGCTGCTTTCCTAGGGGTTCCAACTTCTAGGTAGGGTCGCACTGGGGTAATTTGACAACAAAACAATCCTAGATTCCAGCTTGCACCTGTCAGGGGGAACGGCAGATTTCCCAGTTTGAAAACAACTGTACATTCATACGGTCTGTTTCGAACACGGGAAGCCTACCACGACTTTTTGCCGGTCTTGACTTGGCAAGTGGAGTTCATGCTACACCGCTGCCAGAACAATTCCCCAATCAGAGCTTGCCTCTGTAGGGGTCCTAGCGGATTAAAAGCTGAGGTGAGGTTCACCGCCGATTCGGTGGCCGGGCCCGGGTGCCCGGGTGCCCGGGTGCCCGGGTGCGCCGCCGATTCGGTGGCCGGGCCCGGGTGCCCGGGTGCCCGGGTGCCCGGTTGCCCGGGTTCGCCGCCGATTCGGTGGCTGGGCCCAGGTGCCCGGATGCCCGGGTGCCCGGGTGCCCGGGTGACGGGTGCCCGGTGCCTGGGTGGGTGCCCGGGTGCCGGGTGCCCGGGTGCCTGGTGCCCTGTAGCCCTATAGCCTTATAGCCCTATATCCTTATCGCACTATAGCCCTATAGCCCTATAGTAGCCTTATAGCCCTATAGCCCAATAGCCCAATAGCCCTATAACCCCAAACAAATTTTGATTGGGGCTTTTCTCCGGTATCATTTTTGGAGGCTGGGGAAAAGGTGTTTCTGAAGGATGCCGGAGCCATGCACGAAAGAGCGTCAGTGTGGGAGCTGGTCAGCCACACGGAATGAGGGGAAATCGGGAGATCTCGGCACGACAAAGACGCCATCTGTTATTCCGGACGGCATGGCTCTAACTTGCCCGCATTCTTCCTCACAGCACGAGCTCTCCTCCACTTCAGGTCATCATCCTGTTTGCCCATAACATTATACTGCCGCTTCGTTGTGTTGCTCATGCGGTGTCTTCTAGTGCAGCTGTCATCCCTTGGGAAGACGTTAACCGATCGGTTTGTCACTGGACTGAGGCCCAGGCAAACATACTGAACACGCAACTCAAACCCAATCTCCGCCCAAACTTGTTCTGAGCGGGTAACCGGAGGTGAAGGGGTGAGATCGACGTGGAACGGGGGGGCCCCCACCAAGAAATCGGTTTCGGTTTCGGGCTCGTGCCGTGCGAAGCTGCGCGGGCGGGCGCGAAGACTGAACCCTCCTCTGGCTAGGGTGCGACGAAGACAAAAGTCCGCCCCCCACTTCCTCCTGGCCGCGTGGCGGGTGGGTGCTGGGGGTGTCCCGCCGTGATGTCTCGATGGTGTCCCGTGGTGTCCTGTGGTGCCCCGCGGTGTCTTGCACTCGATTGGCGTCCCGATGGTGTCTTGGTGGTGTGTCAATAATGTCTCGCGGTGTCCCACTGTGCTGTCCCGCCGGTGTCCCGTGGTGTCGCGTGGTGCGCTGCGGTATCCCGCGGTGTCCCGTGGTGTCCCATGATGGTGTTCAGTGATATTGTCCCGTGGTGTACCATGGTGTCCCGCGGTGTCCCGCCGTGGTGCCTCGATGGTGTCGCGTGGTGTCCCGCCGTGTCCCGCGGTGTCCCGTGGTCTCCTGTGGTGTCCCGTGCGATCGATAATGAGATCAATCGTGAGATCGGTAACAAGGACCAATTTTGACATCTATAGCGATATCGGTAGTTAGATAGAGAGTGGGAACAATAGTGAGATCCATCGTGAGATCGATCGTGAAATTGATAGTAGAGATAGCGCGTTTCACTTGCGCTTGCCTTGGGAACATTCGGCGGCGCGTTTCGAACCGGCAGGTGGGCCCCCCCCCCGACACTCGGCGCCGTCGCTCAGAACCAGGGGGACCCCCTCCCCCCTAAACCCCCTCCTCCCGAATTCCCCCCCCGCGCCGGCGCCGGTGCAGGCGCCGGCGCTGGCGGCCGCCAGCAATGCCGACGGCGGGGAGGCAGCGACGATGACCAGAAAGGGCCCAGGGAGAGGGGGGCGTGGGTTCAAACCCGCTCCCCCTCCACGCCTACGCTGGCGCTGGCGGCGGCCAGCAGCGCCGACGGCGGAGACGCAGCGACGATGACCAGAGAGGGCCCAGAGGCCGCAGAGGGAACACACAAATCGCCATATCGAGCCCTCGCATGCTCCTCAGACGCCCCCGAAACCCTTTTGACGAGACCTCAAGAGCATCCATGAGAACTCTGACCCGAAGCCAAAACACAGTGGCGGGAAGAGCCGAAGGCCGCACCACCACCACCACAAACCACCACACCACCACCACCACCACCGCCACCACCGCCACCAGGACCACCACCACCACCACCACAACCACCACCACCATCACCACAAACCACTACACCGCCACCACCAAAAACGCCACCACCACCACCACCACCACCGACACCACCACCACCACCATCACCACAACCCACCACCACCAACACCACCACCACAAACCACCACAACCCCACCACCACAACCACCACCACCACCCACCCACCACCCACCACCACCATCACCACCACTACCAGCAGCACCAACACCACCCACCACAGCCCACCACCACCACCACCAAACCATAACGCCACCACCACCACCGCCCCCACCACAACCACCACAACCACCACCTCAACCCACCACCACCAACACCACCAAACCACCACACAACCACCACCACCACAGCCACCACCACCACAGCCACCACCACCACAACAGCCCACCACCACCACCATAATCACCCACCACCACTACCACCACCACCACCACAATCTTCCACACCACCACCACCGCCACCACCACCACTACTACCAGCAGCATCACAACCCACCACCACCACCACCACCAACCACCACACCACCACCACCACCGCCACCACCACCACCACCACAACCCACCACCTCAACCACAAACCACCACCACACCACCACCACCACCAAAGCACCACACCACCACCACCACAACCACCACCACCACCACCACAACCCATCACCACCACAAACCACCACCACCCCACCACAAACCACCACCAACCATAACAAGCACGACCACAACAAACCACCACCACCACCACCACCTCAACCATCACCACCGCCACCACCAGAACCCACAACCACCACAACAACTACCACCGCCACAACCACCACGATAAACCACCAAACCACCACCGCCACGACCACCACCACCACCTTAACCCACACCACCACCACCAGAAACCACCGCACCACCGCCACCACCACCACTACCACAACCTGCCACCACAACCACCACAACACTCACCACCACCACCAACCGCCACACCACCACCACCACCACCGCCACAACCACCACCACCACCACAGCCCACGACCACCACCACCACCTCAGAGAGGGCCCAAGAGACGCCCAAAAGGCGCCCAGGAGGCTTCACAAATGCCCATCAGAGGCCCCCGAGAGCCGTCCGACGAGACCCCAAGAGGTATCCATTAGGACTCTGACCCAAAACCAAGGCACGGTGGCGGAGCGTCGTCGTCGTCGTCGCCGTCGTCCTCGTCGACGCTCCCCGCCGCCGCCGCCCGCCGCCGCCGCCGGAGCTGGCTCAGAAAAGGAAGTCGTCGTCGTCATCGACACTCCCCGCCGCCGCCGTCAGCCGCCGCCGACGCCGGCACTGGCCCGAGGAGGGGGAGAGAGGAGAAGTAGCCCCTCCAAGCGACCACAGAACGCGCTCTTTCGCTCAAGATCGCTAGTGAGATCGATAGCGAGATCGACGAAAAGATCAATCGTGGGATCGACACTAAGATCGATAGCGAGGTCGAGTGTGAGGTCGATTGTATATAAAATCGGTGGTGGGATCGATACGAAGGATTTTGAGATCGATTGTATAGTCGACTATGATATCGATAGTGAGGTCGATAGTGGGATCAATAATGAGATCGATAATGAAAGACGCCGATTCCCCCCCGGACCTCCTTATCACCCGAAGGGTGGTCGTATGGGTACAGCATAAATCCTACACCGGTGAATTGCACTTGCTTGCCATCCATATCTGCCTTTCTCCAGTGCGCAGCAACCACGTTGCAAGAACGGCAACACAAACTACAGAACATGGCACAAGTTCCACTGGACATGGTTCTACCTGTACCCCGATCCTGTATCCTGTTCGAGCTTGATGCGGCTATAATGTCGGCACCTCCCGATCGAAATGACGACCGCAAGGGAACCGGGCTTACAACAAGCCCCCCCTGGAAGCAGCCTCTGGGAACCTCTAGAGGCCTCTGGTGGACCTCCTTTTCCCCCAAGTCTTCATCCTCCTCCAACACCTGCACCTCGTCCTGCTCCTCCTCGTCCTCCAACTTCCGCTCCCCAGTCCGGGCCACTCCCCTCTGGAGCTGTCCCTACCATGTATCAGGCCAAGTTCTTGCGCCCACGCTTATGTCCAGTCGTGTGACTCGGGTGATGGTGCGCATAGACCCTGGAATTGAAGCATGATTTCCCCAGCAAGTTTCAGCATGCAGAGGCAGATTGGTGGGCACGAAGATGTGCAGACGTCCGTGGAAAGAGAATCAGCATAGGTGGGCAAGAAAGTGAGCGTAGACAACCGAGACAGCATAGCTTTCTGAAGAATGAGAAGTCCAACTCCTCCGCCTCCATGTTCACGCCAATGCTTACCGCCAGCAAGTTGCTCTCTCGCCTCATCCTGCCGGCAGGGAGCTCGCACTGCACCAGGGGAGCGGCGCAAAGGGGGGGTCATCTGAGGATCGGCCAGGGAGACCATCCAGTGGCGCGGTGCACGAGGAGCATACACGACCGACTGGGCTGGAGCAGTACGCCTGGGGGGTGCAACTGTAGTTAGCCTGACGAAGACAAAGGCTGTGGGACGAAGCCGGCGACAGTACCAGCAAGGAAAGGGCCCGATGGCCACGGTATCAACGTCCACACCAACATCAACGAACAAAGCTATCAGGAAGCTGAAGACACACATGGCTGGATTCACATGTGCAGCATCTGGATGCCACACATGCGGAGGCCCGGCGCTCCTGCCTACAGAAGGGCCGAGCGCGGGAAAGACATCAGGCCACAGGTGTATGAAACTCTCGCGCAGGCGGGCCGCGCCATGTGCATCCAGCTCCCTGGCACGACCGGCACCAGCATCAACGTCAGCTCAAACATCATACCGAAAAGCGCCACATCGAACGAGGGGCCATCAGAGTCGAGCCCCTCTGAGGTTCGACCTCGAAGCCGCCCTGGCACTTCCCCGCGCTGTGCCCAGCGTTCCGAGCACACCAAGAGATGATCCCTTCTTTTCCAGCCCTTCCTCCCAGAACACCTTCCACAAAACCCCCGGGGATGGACTGAACCCCCTGTTGGCAAAACAATCGCTGGTGACAACGACCCGGGACCGGACCCCGCGGGCGCAGGCTCGCAACAAAATTGTGCGGATCCATGCCGCGGTCGGAGGCAGGCGGCCGAGTCACCCACGGGAACCTCGACTTGGCAGGGTGGGTGGATGGACGGACGCGCGAGACGTCTCTGCGAGGTGGCGGCTGGAGCAGGGCGGCCGTTGTCGCTCACATCTTGAGCTCCTGAGCTGCTCCTTCAAGATATTATCCGACATGCGGCCCATTTTGCGAGTGATTGTGCGAAACGAGGTCAACCCCAATCCTCTCATGTCAAGCCAGTCCTTTCATCGACCAAGTTCCAGAGTATAATGAGAATGCGAGGTCGTCTGATCCAACCTTGAGTCTCATATGTTGAATCACGTCCCGAGAGGGGTGCATGAGCCAGCTGTCAAGAAACATAACATAAGAGGTTGGGGTTTCTTTGTCTGCCTCCGAAAACTCGTCCTCGCTGCGATCCAGACCTGGGGCACGCGCCCTCTCCAAGGCAGGTGGAGAAGCAAAAGGCAGCCCTCTCCGGGTCCCCGCGGAGATCCCTGCGGAGGTCCCCGCGGAGGTCCCCGCGGAGGTCCGTGGTGGCCCCCAGAAGCCTCCGCAGGCCGCACCCAAGAAAGGCCGAGAACGTATAGAAACCTCGAGGAGGAGAAAGAGGAGGAGGGAGGACGATGTTACTTGGTGGAGGATGAGAGGGAGGAGGTTGATTGATGCAACGCGGGGCTTGGGACATCCGTGCTCCACTCCACTGCTGACACGCATGCAACTCTTATTACTAAAAGAAGCAACGTACAACAACAAAAAAAAAGGAAAGAGGTGCCAACCCATCCATCTAGCTGCCGATGAGCCAGTTGTTCAAGGCCGAACGTGCGGCCTCCCTCGCCTCCTGTCGCCTACCCTCCTCGTCTGGGGGGGAGGCCGGGGCGAAGCACGATGGGGTGGGCACCTGGATTCTGCGACGAGCCGCCCGTCTCTCTCTGGCGAGAGCTCGGTGGGCCGCTATGCGGCCACGCTGCTGCGAAGTGAGCACGAGCGGGGCGGGAGGAGGCGGCGAAGGCGACGGGGGGGGAGGCGGAGGAAGGAGAAGCCACTCCGCAGCTTGCTCCTCTGGGGAGCCATGCACAAGATCTGCGTACTGCTGCTCTGCCAAAGCCTCCTCATCTTCGCCATGCGAGGGGGGCACGAAATCCTGCTGAGATCTGTCCTCAGCTCCATCATCTTCATTGTCCGAATCCTCGAACCTGTGAATTTCAGGATCTACTCTACTAGTACCCTTGTGCGAGAAGCCTGCAAAGTCGGGAGCAGGGCTCTCCTGCGGTGGGCTAGAAATCTGAAACGTGGCGTAGAATACAGCAAGCGATTCACGGATATCATCATCACCCTCGGGATAGTCCAGGTCTTCGCGGGGCGGGGTGGAGGACCCAGCCGAGGAAAGGAGAGACCTGGCACTATCCACGATGGCCGAGGCGATCGCCTGGCACATCTGAGGCGGGTAAGTCTTCTTAGAAGCCGTGTAAAAAGATCCCGAGGCCCTTTTCCCTAAAAGGGTCTGGTGGGAGCCTCTCGGGTGAGAACATCTACCGCCTCCTGGAGTGGCCCTAAGGAGCCTATCCATAGTGGGCATGCGAACGGAAAGAATAGTAGTAGGAGCACGGCCTATTTGCCCAGGGTCCACCTCGGGACCTTGGTGCTCACATTGATCAAATGAAGTGACCGCGGCACTTGGGGCCGCGGCCAGGGCCTCTAGAGGCCGCCAACGGAACGCGGACGGGGCCCTTGGGGCCCACGTGGGGTTGGCGGGATGCTCCATCCAACCCCCCGTGCCTGCCCTCAGATGCTCCGCCAAGAGCCAGACCATTGCGTGCAACAACTGAGACCCAATACGAAGCTGCTCGGACTGACGCTGAGACACCCAAGGTAATCCCCACATATACTGAGTAGACCTGAGAGGGGGGGGGCCTCCCTCGTGCCACCGGGCAGCTGACCAGGTTTCACAAGGAGGCCCCCCCCCAGTGTTGATGACCCTGTGACAGCGTATGTGCTCCACCCATTCAAGAATCGTAGCCTCCTTCGTCAAGTCCCCTCTGTCGGCGTCAATGGCAATGTCAACGCTGAGAATCACTAAGTGAAGGTCGGACGTAAGCGTCTCATGCTCGAGCTGCCACTGGACGTCGCCTCTGCGACGTTGCCCGCAGTAGAGATGTAGAACGTACGCCGTAGGTCGACGAATGCGAATAGGGACAGCAGAAGCCAGAAACTCGGGATATTCACCAGGGTTATAGACATAGAAAGGAGTCTCAGGGACCACGGGGATCACCGAGGGAACATCCGAACAAATCGTAGTATACTGCTGGATGAGGTCATCGGGGATGGCGGGGTCAGCTTCCAGGAGAAGCTGTAGGGCATCATGGTGCGAAAGATGTGAGGTGAGGGCCACAACATCGGGGTCACGGGAGAAGGCGGGGAGTCGTGTAGCGGGGACTTCGATACGCCACCTCCCCTGTCCACAAGCCCGTTGATTTCGCATTCGTACGTCCTCCTGCTGCTGAAGTGCGGTGGCTTCTGCTACCGTGCACTGCGGAGCAGACACGATGAGGCCAATTGCACATGGTAATGAGTCGAATGCAAGGTGCGCCGTGAGAGCAGACCGATGCGCAAAAGACTGAAAGCATGTACAGCAGGAGAGAGACGAACCCTGACAGTTACGAGTGAACGATACGCGTGAATGATGTACGCGCTGAATGTGCGTTCGAAGCCCTCTGATGCGAGAAAATGAACGCGAGCACCACATACATGTAAACACATTGGCGTCCTCTCTCTCCTGTGGCGTAGGCGATGCCGTGGGTCGTCCCATGCCGGTGGGACCCCTGCTGATTCGAGTATCTGGAATATCTGGTCTTCGGCAGCCCGAGCAAGAGTGTCTCGCTGGATGTGCCGAACGTGAGAAGCCAACGCCTGCCTAATTGTCTGCTTCCATCCCACTGCTGACTTCTTGGCCTCCATCTCCCAAGACTGTAGGTTCTCGAGAGGGTCGGGGAACTCCTGGAACCTACGGGTGTACAAACGCAGCCATCCAAGATCACCCAGAATCATATGTCCCCAGGTCCTGGAAGTCTCAACCATAGCGGCGTGAACTAAAGCCATAATGTGGGGCGGGCCCGAGAGCAAGAGGCGGCCAAAAAGGCGAAGCCTGTGGGCAGACAGCAATGCTTCGAGCGGCGGGCGGCCCACTCGCGCAAGAACATACTTAGACGGCATGGCTGTATCATCCGCTCGGGGAAGTCTGGCAATAGCGCGGTAATAACGGAGGAGACCGTCCTGTAAATGATTATGCTGTGCCTGGGTAAGAAAGCCCCAAGTGCTGGATTGAAATAATCTCCCAGAGCAAACCAGAGAATCCAAGAAAACCAATGCAGTCTGCATCTCGATGGTTTTGTGCTTAAAGACCTTGCCTCTGAGAACCCTCCAGGCCTGCGAACATCCCGGAAGACGGTGAGCCAGTTCTGGCCCCATAGACGCTGACATATCATGTTTAGTACCAAGATGAACATACTCTTGAACCCGATGAAGACACATGGGCCCCAAACTATGTGTAAATGTATGTATGGTATTGTGCAGCGTCTGTACCAAAGTACGTTTGGCCCCTTTGGAGGAAATGCCACGAAATTGAAATAAAAAGGCAGACTTGCCTGGTTTGACGTTGACCTGAAGGCCCGAGGCTGAGAACGCGTCAATGACCACGGAGGCAATAAACGGCGCTTGCTGCAATAAAATACTGGCACGGCCTTCAAAGCAGAACAGGGCGTCATCAAAGAAGGAGCCGTCCATAGAGTGACATGTGTAAACTGCTGGCGGCTGCTCCGCATTCCCCTCGGTGTAGGACGCGAGAGACGAGACTAGGTGACATGGAAGACGTAGCCCAACACCTAAAGCGAGAAGACCTTCCTGGGCAGTGGCCATGATTTTGGCCATGATGAAATTGAAAACCAAATCGCCCAGTTGTTGTCCAGGACCAGAGCCCAAACAGGGAAACGCCACACCTGACCCATCTTGCACATAAAACCAGGATTGATCATACGCATCGGAAATTTGGCCCCTACGAAAGGCCGAAACACCGTGATGTTCGAGCAGGGGGGTGGACGATCGTATGGTTTCAGCCAGGTCCTGGGTGGCCTCCGGAGGTAACCCACATAACTTGAGTAGCTTGGCGATGGCTTCGTCATTGGCCGAGGTACGAAATATTAGTTCCCGAACTGATTTGTAGAAAGCCTGAACAGCATCAATGAACAACATCATCACCGTGTGG